TAAACTTAATTAATAATAAAAAAATTTATATTAAATAATAATTTTATATAATATGTAAATAAAAAAGAACAAAAAAATCTTATAATGATTTTTTAAAAAGGTAATGCTTTTTAGATTCAAATTTACCCATTATTGATTACATATCAAAACAGCTAACAATATCTTTTTCAATATAAACAATTAAATTATCTATAAAAAATTTATTATCTATTTTGTTTCGAAGTTTTATGTTCACAATTTTCATCGTTGAAAAAATTCTTGATGTAGTTGCACCAGAAGCTGAAAGAGTTAAAATAAGACAAATTAATATATCAATCATGATTAATAAAAAATTGATATATTGATAAAATTTTAAATAACATATATTTGATAATTATATAATAATATTTTAATTTTTAAAAATTAAAATTATAAAAAATAAAATTCACATAACAGAAAAAAAAACATAGCAAGTAAGAATTGAGTAGGACTTGTGAGATCATTTTATTTTTTTATTTATATTAATTATTGAATAAAAATTATTTTAAAAAGTTATTAAAATATATATAGAATAAATAAAAAATTTTAAAATTTTGGAGAGACGACGCCCCTCCAGCATAACTACGATCCACCTCTGGTTTTAATTGCAATGGTTTCTTCATTTGTGAACGTATGGCATGATAACTTGAAAGATTGGAACATTGACTTAACAGAATGAAGCATATAATAATAGCAACGTTAGAGGAAAGTTGCATCAGATGGGAAACTGAGTGATACGTCCATGACATAAAACAGTTTGAAACTAACACAACCAAAGAGACACAATAGAAAAAGGAGAGAGATTCAATGATGGGTTTAGATTTCTGGCCGGTGATTATTGCGGTTGTGGTTGGATTGGGAATTTATGTTTTCCTGTTTGGTTTTCTTAGGAAAGTTAATGAGTGGTACTATGTCAGCAGGCTGGGAGAGAGGAAGCATTCCCTTCCTCCAGGTAATATGGGGTGGCCTATATTAGGCAATATGTGGTTTTTTCTCAAAGCTTCCAGATCCAAAGACCCTGAAACCTTCATCAACGAATTGGTTCAAAGGTACGGTAGAACTCGAATTTACAAGTCCTGCTTGTTTGGAAGTCCAAGCATCATAGTTTGTATTCCTGAAACATGTACGAAGATCTTGACAGATGAAAGATTTGCTCCTGGTTACCCTATATCTATAACGAAGTTAACAGGAAGCAAGTCGTTTCACAGTGTTTCGAATTCAGAACACAGGCGTTTGCGCAAGCTAACGACAGCTCCAATTAATGGCCATGAAGCACTGGCCATGTATATTGGATATATTGAGAACATTGTGATCACAGCTTTGGAAGAATGGACAAGCATGAACAGGCCAATTGAATTCTTGAAGGAGATGGAGAGGGTAACTTTCAACGTCTTAACACATATCTTCATGGGATCGGGTGCTGAATCTATTCGAGAGTCGATGGAGAAGTATCACAATGACTTCCACCATGGATTATTATCTGCTGCATATAATATTCCTGGTTTTCTATTCCATAAAGCTCTCAAGGTAATTTTTTTTATCAATCACATGCCTAAGACAGCACGCCTTCTTTTGTTTAGACCTGAACAGAAATAGATGTGAATAATTTATTTGGATAGATAAAAGAACATTTAATAAACTTTGGATGCATCAGACAAGGAATATGTTGGTAAAGATCTTTCATGATGTTCTGGATGAAAGGAGGAGGAGGAAAAGTGATAATCCGTATGAAAGGAGAGGCATGATCGATCTACTCATGGAAATTGAAGATGAGAATGCTGAGAAGTTCAGTGATAACTATATATCTGACATACTACTATCGTTCTTGGCCGCTGGGTTTGGGAGCATAGCCAATGCAGCAACCTGGACTACCATCTATCTTCATGACCATCCAGAAATGTTGCAGAAAGCTAGGGTCAGATAGTAATCTTAGAGGGTTCAGTGAAATGAATACATAAGAATTGCTTTTTGTCTTCTTCCTGCTATGTGGGCGAATTGACAGCTTTTAACTGGCATTGATTTTCCTTTTGGTCCTTATTTGTTGGGTATTTTCAGATTATTTTGGTTCATAAATGCCATTGTTTAATTTTACTAATTTCGCTTAAGAAGTGCTTTTAGGAAGAGCAAGAGGAAATCTTAAAAGAGAAGACCATCACAAAAGGGTTTGAATCTTATAGATATCAGACAAATAGAATATCCCGCAAAGGTAAATTTTATGTCCCTTGTTCTTTATTTGACCATGGATATTTGCTTTTTTCACAACCTATAGATCATTTACTTCTAAAAGTCAAACCGTCGTTGACTGTGAAAAGCTGACATTCTTATAATTTAGGTGATTGATGAGACATTGAGAAAGACTAATCCGGTATTTTGCAATTTCCGAGTGGCACAAGATGATGTCAACATCAATGGTTAGCGACATATATATTGCCCTCATATTTTCCTTCATTTTTACACTTTTCTCCCAAGCTTCTCTTGCTTGAAATTCTGCAAATTAGTCTAGAAAGGAAAGCATTCTTTGCAGGTTATTTCATACCAAAAGGATGGAAGGTTCTGGTCTGGACAAGGGGTGTTCACATGGACCCTGAAACTTATGTGAATCCAAAAGAGTTTCTTCCTTCAAGATGGGATGCAAGTAATGTGTATTACAAATCATAATTGTTATGATAACATAAGACATTAAGTAGTTGTTCTGAAATGTTTTTTGCTTTGCTTTTGATGTGCAGAATCAAAAACCCAAAGCAGGATCCTTTCTACCTTTCGGAGGAGGTAGCAGGATTCGCCCTGGAGCTGACTTGACCAAGCTTCAGATTTCCATTTTTCTTCACTATTTTCTCCGTAACTACAAGTGAGTCTGGCTTCTTCTTCTTCTTCTTCTTCTTCATGACAGCTTTTACAAATTAATTGCAAGAAGGAAGAAAGAACAGAACCAAATAGTCTGCTATGTAACCATCACTCTCAGATAACCGATTAACCAATGTATTCTTTTCATTTTATTTTTGTTTTCAGAGTGGAACAAACCAATCCTGGAGGCCCCATTGTGTACTTGCCTGTCCCAAGACCTTTAGACAAGTGCCTTGCAAAAATACTCAAGCTCTCATGACCTCTGCGTCTTCTGCTTTCGTCCATTTGTATCTAAATTGATCCGTGCCAGCCTGCTTTTACATTATCTTCTTCGTCATAAGTTTATAAATTTGTAATTCGGACTATTTAATATATATATATATATAAATCTCTTGCAACAAAAATTCATCATTCAAAATTAGAAAATATTTAAAAAATTAGAAGATTGATAGTTTAAGCTTCGAGATATATCACAAAAATTCACTCCAATTAAAAAAATCATAAATATAAAAATCAATGCAAAATTAAGAGAAATTAATATATATACTTTAACAAATCAAAATTGTTTACTAATTAAAATTCGTCTGTAAATACATTGATTCATTACGCATAATAATTATCATCTCATATTTAAAATGCTTAAATTCATACACACTGTATTTTAATTTATCGGATCTCTTCTATTCTCATGATCTCTACTTTTTCTTTCCTCTTTCTCCCAGCACATTGTATATTGTTCCTTAAACGAGCCAGCTGGGACATGAACTAGTAATTAGAGTGATCATTTGATTAACTATAGTTAGTTTCGGACTGAAATTTCAGAGTTTAAGGATAATATCTCTACTACTAAAGTCAACCAATATCTTTAGTTTACTTTAAAAAAAAAAAAACATCAAGATGATATTAATATATATTCTTATTTCTTGTGGATACTAATTAATTGGTGGTTTTAAATAGGGCTGCACTAAAGTTTTATGAGAATTTTCACATACTCAGTTTGTAAAATCATTATTTTCAAATGAAAATGTGAAATTTATTGTGAAATGAAAAAAAAAAAAAAAGCATTTCTCATTATTGTTAGTGCAAATGGGATTTAGATGGAATTTAAGCAATCAGTAAAATTGACTTCAAGACAAACTTTTCAATAGACGTTATCTTTAAAACTTATTTACAATAAAGCCAATGTATAATTTCGTCTTACACTTTACGAGAATAGACTGCTAAGTACACTCGAGAGTTTGTAAAGTTATTCGACTTTAAAATCTACTTTCTACAACAAGTAAATTAAAAAAAAAATTAGATGCTTTTATAGTTGATGAAAACTTAAGTGTTTATGTTAATAAAACATAATACTTTTTTTACTCTTAATTTTTCTGTTCTTGTTTTTTTTTTTAATTTGATGTGTCAAAATAGTTGGTAACAAGTCCTTTATATAGACCTTCAAATATCTCTTCTTAAAAGACACGATCCTTTCATTAAGGCATCATTTTATCAAAAAACTATCTTTATCTTTTGCAAGACACAACTTTTGAATAAAAATATTATTTCAATAATCATCTTATATAAAGATAACTATTCATTCCATAAAACATAATCTTTGAGTTATAATTTGAAATAATAACTTTTTATATTTAAACTTTTGAGCTATGGTATTTTTTTCATTTATCTCATAACTTTTAAATGTCATTTTATCAAGAGATATAACCATTTATATGAAAACCTGCAATCTAATAGTCACATTATGTCACTTTATGTGACATAACTTTTGAAATAAGATAATTTTTTATTATGTAATATAATTTTTTATTTTAAAAATACACTACCAATTGTAACAATTCTTCATATATAGTATTAATAATAAGACAAAAGGATATTTCCTTGAGATCCAAAATCTTATTCTTAGTAATATAATATCGTGGTTCAAGGTCAAAAATAATCACCATGGCTATTTTGAAAAGTAATTTGAAATACCCATGGGGTAAGCACCAGGGAAAGGGTGTTGCTGGCAACTTTGGTTGGGTTTTCGCATGGGCGCAGGGGTGCCCTTGTTTCAACCTTCATGCCATGCTTTGAACATGGCAAATGAGTGACACGACACGTACGTGCTAATGGCGTGGTGCAACCGATGTGCATTGCGCTCTCTATATATAACACAGCATTTGAGAAACAAAAAGTTCCAGGTCACAAGTGATAAAACTAGCAGATGAACAAACATAGAAAGAAAGATCGAGAAAGTCAGTTTGAAGGAAAAATGATTTGCTTTATCACTAAAACAATCATTACAAGGGTATTTATACAAGTAACTAACCAGCTGATGTAAACTAACTAAATGCCTATATGACTTAGCTTATTTTTAGTGTATCTACTTCTTAAAAACAGAAAAATGAGTCAAATTGTATTTTGTGAGAAACTAGCCTTTTAAAAAAAAAAAATTAAAAAAGAGTTTAAATAAAATTCCAAATAAGGGTTTTCTCTTTTTTTTTTCTAAAAACACTTCAGCTCTTTAGGTGAGTTGTTTTCTTTAAAAAAAGATCATCTTTTAAAAAATACTCCCTCCCTCTCTCTTATCGATCTCCCTCTTCTCTCTCTCTATCCGTAAATCATCCTTCCAGGGATTTTTTGTTCTTAAAAAAATTAAAAAATTAAATTTAAAATTCAAAACTACATTTAAGTATTATTTCTTCTTTTTTTTTAAGCAGAAATTAACCAATGAGTCAAATGCTCGGGTGCTTCATTTTATTTTCTATCATTCTATTTTTTGCTTTTGAAAATTCTCTTGATTGTTTAATATTTCTCAATTTATTGTTTGATATGATAATTATGTGATATTTATTTGTTCTTAACTTCTTTCTAGTGTATATAATATTTGTTGACTATTATTAAAATAATTAATCAAATAAATTAGATGAAAATTAAAAATAAAGATTTGTACTTGTTTGTGGTAACTCAATTTTAAATAATTTTTTTTTAGGCATAACAATAGGCTGCACTACAAGAAAATTGAGATAGACTTTAATTCTTTTGCCAATAGAAATTACAGAATCCTTGAACTTCTTAGTATTGAATTTCACATTGGAGTTAACAGTACCTAACAAATGATGTGGCATTCTTTGAAAAAATAAATAGCCTATTAAAAAATATGAAAAAAATATAAAAGGTAAAATCTTTTTGTTCATATAAAGAACTTTGTTGGTGAAGACATTAAGATCTTGATAGATTTGCATGGAATTAATATTGATGATTTCAATTGAAAATTAGGTTGTCAAATAAGTGGCTAAACATGGTTTTTCTGACCCAATTGTATCCGTTATTAATACCACGTTGGGTTCTCTCTCTTGTACATAACATCAATTTTGTTCAACTCCAAAAGTCATAAATTCTAAACTAATCTTTAAAAAATAACAACAAATATTTTTTTATATTTCAGCAATTCATAATATTATAAGAGAAATTATATGTTTTTCACACTCATTTTTTTTATTTGATTTATTTTTTTTAATTTATTAAATACATTTTATAGTAATTTTAATCAAATTAAAATTTATATAAATTATTTTATCAAACAACTTATCTATAATAAAGAATTTTAAAAAATAAATTTATCAAACAATTTTAATTTAATTTTAAAAATTATTATTTTTTATATCTATGGCTATTAATATTCCAGGTTTTTCCACCGGGAAGTACTACCGTGACTTGAACAACGGATTAATATCTATGGCTATTAATATTCCAGGTTTTTCCTTCCATAAAGCTCTTAAGGTAATGCTTAAATTTCCGTATCAAAATTCTCCATTGTAACAAATTGTTAATCTATCATGATAGACAAAGGAGTATTCATTATGAAAAATATTTGATGCTTTGTACAGGCAAGGAAAATGCTAGTTAAGATCGTTCAAGGTGTCCTGGATGAAAGGAGAGCAAGGAATAAGATTGGTCGTGACCCAATTAATGAAAAGAAAGGCGTGATCGATCTGTTTATGGAAGTTGAAGATGAAAAGGGCCAGAAGTTGGTAGATGAGGATATAGTTAATCTACTGCTTCTGTTCCTGGTAGCCGGTCATGAGAGCTCGGCCTCTGCTGTTACGTGGGCAACCATATTTCTTCATGACAATCCAGACACACTACAAAAAGCTAAGGTGGTGGTGGAAGTGTTTTCTCAAGGAGTTTTTAATTACGAATTATAACTTGGAAGTTCTTTATCAGTATCAGCCAGCACAAGAGCCAAAATTAGTCTGTTTTCATTTGCAGGAAGAGCAGGAGGAAATTTTAAGGAGAAGACCATCTGGACAGAAGGGGTTGAATCTCAAGGAAATAAGACAAATGGAATATCTTTCAAAGGCATGATGCTTTTTTTGTTCCTGTAGGACATTCTATGCATACTGAGCATTGGCATTGTTGTTTTAAATGATGTTCTTATGATTCAGGTGATTAAGGAGACATTGAGAATGATTAATCTCCTGTTTGCCAATTTTCGGGTGGCAAAAGCTGATGCTAACATCAATGGTATAGTGTTTGATTCCTAGGTCATTTTTCTTCATTTTTCAACTTCCTATCTCACCAAATGCAAAGAGCATTGATCTCCAGGTTATTTCATACCAAAAGGTTGGAAAGTTATGGTTTGGACCAGGGCAGTTCACATGGACCCTGAAAATTATGAAAACCCAAAAGATTTTCTTCCTTCAAGATGGGATGTAAGTAATTTACTATATCTCAATGAATTTTACATTTTTCATTTTTTCACAGTATAAAACGTTACGGCTGTTTCTTGCATGTAGAACCATAAACCCAAACCAGGAGCCTTTTTCCCCTTTGGAGGAGGAATCAGAATTTGCCCTGGATCTGAGCTGGCGAAGCTTCAGATCTCCATTTTCTTTCATTATTTTCTCCTTAACTACAAGTGAGTCAGAATTCCTGTGGAAAAAATTCTTTTCACACACAATACCATCATTTTCTGATAAACTTTGTTGATCAATCTGTTGGACTTTATCCGTTGCAGACTTTATCTAGTTACCTGGGCCAACCCCAACGGACCACTGCCTTGCAAGAGTCATCAAGCTCCCTTGATCAGTCACACATAACACCAACAATCTTAGGCCTGCAAAATTCATCACCAGGCACCAAGAATCAATCGATCTTCTCCTGCTTCCTTGTAGAGTAGTAACTCCAGTTGTAATTTTGTTATCATCATCAAGTATTAGTACCTAATGAGCTTTTCTGCAATATCAATTCACTTTAAGACTTTCTTTAGTTGAAAATTAATCAGTATAATAATATAATAATCCAATAAAAATGAAAATCTTACACTTAACAAATGTTATCTCTTTTAACATAATTACAGAATTTGTATGCATTATAAGTTAAATTAATGTAATTCTGTTACATTATGATACTGTCATTGATTTAATCAGATTAGGATATTGACTTTGTATATGCATATCTCATTAATCTTCAAAGGTAAGTTAGCCAAGAACATTAAGGAGGGATTACTGATCAGCTTCCTCACTTGAATGTGATGATAACCTTTCGGCTCCCTTCGATCTCTTCGATGGAAAACCATTAAAAATGAATTCCAAAGTACCAGATGTTTGATTTGTGCCGTTTTGTCTTTCGTGCCTTTGGACAAGAAAACCAGAAAAGTAGTAGTAGTACCAGTAACAGCAAATGAAAATCCAGCAGAAGAGAGAGCATTAGATTAATAAGACACATTGCATCTGGCCAACTCTTCTTCTTGGCACTTTCATAGTAATCTGATACCCATTCGGCAATGAAAGATTATACTAACAACCAAATATATCAATTCCCCAATAACCGATCAATTTTACAGGAAAGATGTTTCTTTGGATCTTTGCAGGTTGCTGTTGTTATTTAAGAGAAATTAACGTTATAAGGTCTCATCAGTAACTTATTTGCATTCATTTTATTCAGATAAAGCAATTAACTTATTCATTTTTTTCAGAATAATGTTTTATATGTTTATTAATTTTACTAAAGTTATTTGTTGGATTTCAAAACTTACAATTTCTTTTGCAATATATTCAAGGAAGAGACAAAAGAAAAGGTTGATTAGGTTTTTGAATGAAATACATAAAAATTGAATTTTAAATTTATTTTAATTAGATATTTAATAGATTTGGGTATTTAACGATTAATATTTAAATTTCAGATATAGATTCAAGTAATAATTTCAAAGTTTAATCATGTTTTTATAAAATTCGAAGCTTCTATCGACTTGAGATTGAATATAATTGTACTTGCCTGAATGGGCTGTTAATTATGTTGGGTCTAATTGTAAATTCTTTATTGTTAAAGGCCCAATTTTCAAGAAACATTATGACAATGGATTATATGGAATTCAATACACTGTAGGATAAATGCAATTCATGTAAGGAAGCGAAACCGAGGAAAAATAGAGAGGAAGGGAAAAAGGCTTTTGAAAAATATAATGTAAGAAAGGGAAGCAAATTTTTGCAAAGTTGGAGCTTGCTGTCCTGTGATAATTATGAATAACATAGAAGCTGTGAAACCTTACTCCGTTACAGAAGTGAAATTATGGTACAAAGTTCTAGTGGGAAGCATCTTCTTCCTCGCAGAATTTGGTGTATTCCTTTGGACCCATCAAGGATTCTAGTTCTGATGGGGTACTTGGCTTCACTTTGATCATCCATCCGTCTTCGTATGGGCTTGAATTGATCTTCAACAGGAAAGGAAAGATGTTAGACTTCAGTACCCCAAACGAAATTATGCTTTATAGTTTATATCTTTCCTTGATAAGCGAAGGCCAAAAGCAGAAACCAAAGGAAGTAGTACAAATGTTTTTTTTGTTTTTCCTATAGTTCGTCAGCATCAAGAATAGCAGTTGAAGTTGAATTGAGAGAATTACCAAGCCAGGAGCTTCAGTAAGCTTGGAATTAACCTCAACAACTTCACCAGAGATTGGGGAATTGACATCACTGGTTGCTTTAACACTTTCCACAGCTCCAAAGCCTTTGCCTTGGCTGACTGAACCACCAGGTTCTGGCAGCTCCACAAAGACTACTTCTCCCAGATGGTCCTGTAAACAGTAGTAGATCATGTAATGTTGTAAGTTCCTTAGATGAATCTGCTGCATTGTGCGATAAAGGGAAAAAGAACAAATGATTTGTATGAAGTTGTGGTATATATATATATATATATACACGCGTGCACGCAGAATGTTTTTTAAAAATAAATATATAGTGCAAGTGTCATTTAAAGATAATAATTCAGAAACATGTTACTACTATTAACAATCATGTCAAAGTAAAGTCTGTATATCCCCAAACAGATAATAAGGGTTTATTTGTACTATCAACATGTTATATCACACCATTTTCAGATTAAACAAATTCTAATCCTCAAGACTTTTAGGGTTCTTGGCGAATTGAAGTCTGTTACAGTTTCGTATTTTGAATTTTCCATTCCTTCCTTTATATTCTTACCATATTCTTCAAATCCAGGTCTGTACTTGCATCCTGCTACAGTTTGCCCAACAACTGCTAGTGCACCTAAAGTACCCAGAGAGTCAAAATCCTAAGTAAAAACCAACGAGGACATTACCAACTCATTCTGAGGTCAGCATACGGCCACAACATAGCCATTAGAGAAATTTCACCTTGAAGAGCAAATTCATACGGACAAAACATTCTGTACTAAAATATACTATTGGATTCAAATTACTGAAGTAACCACTTAATAAAAATGCATCTTTCCAGGATAATATTAGTGGGAGAAAAAGTTGTTGATTAAGGGAAGAAAGAAGGGAATAACCTGAGCATGGTCAGTGATGCCAATGGTAGCCACTGAACCTTCATGCTTCACCCACTCATGTGAATTGGCATATTTGAACCCATCCAAAACTGCAAAATCCACCACATTTTTCCCATATCACAATCCTTACATTCCATAAAAATAGTGGCTAAAAGATAAAGTAGAAGAAAAGGGGTACCAGTGGAAAAGCATCTGGAGGGGGAGAATGCAGGGGAGAGGTGAGCCTTGGAGGAACAAGAGATTTTGAGTGCATTGGCAGTGGAAGAAGCCCACATTCTCAGTGCCATGTTATTGTGTTATCTTTGTTTGTTTATGGGCTTTTGCCTTTGGTTGGCTGCAAATCTATAAAGGGCAAATGAAATAAGGGAAGTTTGGGTGTGTATGGTTTCTGCCTGGTTTTATCTTGTATGAATGGTAGGCAACGAAAGCCTCATCCTAAGACCGGAGTCACAAAGACATGCTGCTGTTTTTCTTTTCATGTGACATTTTTTCTTGTCCTCGTATAGTTTTACTGTTAAAAGTAAACTCTTTTCAAACAAAACGTAGTATGCAAATGCCACGTTTGATTAGGGAAAAAAATAGGATGAAATCATTGGTCAATTCATCCCATGGGCACACTGCTTTTCTTCTACTGACAGGTCGGTTAATTTTTTTAAAAAAAAAGTTAATTTGGGTCTTCGATTAAAAATAATACCGTTACATATTATTCCTTATAATAAGTTAATGATTATTAAAATTAGATATGCGAATGTGACTCAATAAATACAAATCAAGTCTAACAATCATATAAGCAAGATATAAAAAATATAATATAATTTGAATTATTAAATAGAATTGAATTATGATTATGATTCAAAGAGTTATTGACTTAACTCTCTCCATTTTATTCAAAATTATATATTTAAATAATTTTTTATTCTTTTTAAATATTTTTTTATAATTATTTTTTTTTATTTTTTAAATTTTAAAATTATTTTATTTTCATCATCTTCAAATTTCAAAAAACATTTCAATAATTAAATTTTGATTTATAACCTTACCAAATCAAATCAAGTAAGTGTTGTTATTATTTTATTTTTATTATTTTTAAATTTAAAAAAATTTTAATAATTAATTTTTAATTTTTAATTATAACAAATAACTATATGATACCATTTTAATATTTTCATTCTCTAAACCAGAAAGAGAGTCGGGTCGGTCTAGTCTCCTGGGCAGATCCAGTGTATTTGGGAAAGTTTCAAGCTTTCATCCGAGAACTCTCCCACGGTGAGGACTTTGAAAAGGCCATAAAGAACAAAGTTAAAGCTTGGAGCTTTCGACAAGATTTGGGTCTTTGAATTTTTTTGTTTTCCTACAAATTAACGAAAGAGAGTAAATTCATCCATACCCATTAGAGATCAGGTAATGATATGAGAATGGAAGAGATTGTAGAGGAAACCAATGGAAAACATGATCAGATGGCGGAAATTACTCTCAAAACCATTGGCCCTGCTCGCCCTACTAGCCTTCATGTCCCTTCTTCTATCAGAGTATGTTTTATTCTGTGTGTTTTCATGTTTTTTGCTTTTTGCATCTTTTTTTGGTTGTGATCTTACTGAATTATAATAGTCCTTTTGCTTACAACAAAATTGTAAGATTTAATGTGGGGTATCATGGCTAAGATAAGATTGAGGGAGTTAAATTTGTTTACAAATCTGACTTTTAAGTCTAATTTCTATGGTTGAACCATTTAAGCCTTTGATATTTGGTTACTGTTGTATCTTAAAGTTAAACAAATTAGTTGATGATTCAGTAATATAGTCATGAGTGTGTGCTGGGTCAGTTAAGCATTATTTTACACTTTAGTTCTCATACTGGAATGAGAGAGTCCTAGGTGCTTGCAAGCGAGAAAATTGACATGCAGTCTGAGATGTCTATGCTTGTAGAAAGGACTGCAACTTTTTAAATATCTATTGAGGTCTTGTAGATGTACCTTGAACATTAAGGTCCATAGAGCCTACACATTATTGTAGTGTAATTTTACTTTTCCAAGATAGATTCTAAAGTGATTCTTTGCTTCACTTCTGAGCATCCAAAAACATTAAGGGCATCTTAGGTTTCATTTTCATTTTGATGGTATTAGTTTGTATGCATAGTCATGAGAAAGCATGCTTGATTAAAAAAATTTTAGTACCATCCATCACACATATTTATGATGTGCTCATCTTATGTTATCAAAATTAGGTTCTTGATTTGAGAAAATTGATTGCTGGAAAGAATCATTTCCCGGTAGAAAATTTGAAGCTTATCTTGCGAGGGAAGGTATTGCATGACCATGAAGATGGGGATGACATTTATATTCAACTCAATGATGGTGGTATAGATCTTGCCTTTTAACAATATTTTTTGATTCTGTAGTTTGCTTTCACTATGTACTAGTATCATTAGTGGGGTGGGGGAAGGAACCAGTCCCTTCCCAAGTACCCTCACTTTTATAATTGAAAACCAATGTTCTTTAAATTACTGGGAGTGTTTGATATTTTGGGAACAAAGTAACTTTCTTATCATGCCTATTGCAGCTATCTCCCTGTTTATGTTCTTTGGTCCTGGTTAGTGTTTTGCTATTGATATGTCAGCACTTTCTATCAATTGTTTAGATTCCCTCATTGTTGCTGTGAAACCAAAGCCGCCAGTTGGACACGATATTGATGACGATGATGAAGATCTGGTATGACTTAATTAACATTGTCATTAAACTGAGCTTGGATGCACTTTGATAAATCAAGTGTTTTAGTTGATATTTTTGTTTTTCCTCAATTCTTGAACAGAAATTTCAGCTTCCGCAGTCAACAAGCCGATGGCAGAAGAAGCTTTACTCTTTTTTACATAATAGATTGAAGCTTCCTGGTGAGAATCAAGTTAAATTGAGCTGTTGTTATTTTGCCAAATACTAACACGTCACTGGTTGACCATCCCTTATGTATTTTTGCAGATATCCTTTTAATAGCAGTATTTTCTCTCAGTCTTAAGGCATGGGCTCTTATTATTTTATGGTTTATATTGGCACCTGTTGCTCATAAATGGGATCTTGGACCATTATATGTAAGTTGGCTTTTGTATCTTAAGTACAACTCTTTATGTATATTGCACAGTATCTGCTTTTTCTTTTTGGGAAGTGGGGCTGTATGGTTTAGTTAGACTCGTACCCAAATTCTTTGTATCTCCCACCAAACACTGGGGAATACTGGTTTCTTCTTTGATGCAGTAGAAATAAAATAGAGGTTGTTGTGGTTATTGAGGTCATATTTTTGTAGAAAGATGTTTCATTTGGTTGACTTAATATATTAGATTAAATTTTTTTGAGTGTATTAGATTGGGTGTCTACATTTTATTCATCTAAAGGAGAACTAGAAGAAAATACTTGTTTTTCTTGCTGTTACCTTAAAAAAATTGTAAGAGGATTTGAACAATAACTTCTGATGCTCATAGCGAATCTGATGTTATAATTTGTATATGTTTGAAGTGTATTAGCCAGAAACCTGTGGAAGGGAAAAGATTTCTAAATTGTCCATGCTATTGCTATTTGGATCAAATTTATTCTACATAAAACAAAAAGCAATGCAAATTCAGAGATGAGGACTAAGATTATTGAAAGACACAGACAACCTATCACACATTCAATGTAAATTTATTTTGATTATCCGGATCATTTGCATTACAAAAGATGTTCATATCTTCTCTTGCCCTTCTTTTGCTCAGATACTTGGTACTGGCTTTTGTATAATTTTCCTGAATCTTGGACGGCGGCAACCTGGTGATGTCAGGTATTGTCTTGACTCTATAATCTATGGTAGCAAAAGCTTGTAACATAAACATGGAGATAAAAGCAAGAAATTTTGTGTTGAAACAAATATCTATTACATGACTCTGACACCTGGTCTGATGGTAAAATTGTCACAGTAGTTTATAGGACCTAGGTCCCTGACTCCCCCTAACTCTTTTGAACAAACCATTAAATGAAAATTTTGTTTGAAATAATATTTTCTTAACTTCTTTTATTATTTTTTACCAAAGATATTTGTGGAGAAAGAATTAGATGATTTTCTTGAGCATGGAAACGATCGTATTGTAATGTAATTCATGCGATGGAACCTCTTGTGGTTTATCATAGTGGTTGTTTTTGGGTCTTTGTTTAGTTTCTAGGTCTTTGTTTAGTTTCTAAACCCTCCTAGAATGTGACATTCTTTTTAAACAACATGGACTGCTTATGTTTTTTTCCATGGCAACTTATCTTTTTCTTTCCAACACTTACAGTGCATATTCCATCTTCAATGAAGATTTTAGAGAGCTTCCCGGGACCCTCAACGCAGATGCTCTAGATAGAGATATAAGGACAGGTCAGTTTTGAGCCAGTCACACACCATGTGTGATTATCAAAATGATTACTTGTCAATATGTTTTTGACCGTTTCGCATCTTAAAGGGAGAAAAGATGGAAAGACTTCTTTCAATCATTCTTTGTTTCCTTAATAGAAAACGAAAATCTTCATCATGAACTAAAGGATCCATATGAATGATAACCTTTCTCTCACAGCAATACCATGGAATTAAAGCATGTTTAATAATGAATTATTGGACTAGTGCAATGGCTGTGAGACGCTATGGAATCAAAATCTGGCTCAGATGTGAAATTATACTCCATGTAGTTGCCAAAGAGTTTTTGAGGTCCGCTGCAGGACATTTTGAATCCAGAATTCTGATGCCATCCAGATGAATCTTTCGTGTCACTTGTGATTTTTTATTATGATTATATGTCAACTTGTTTAAGATCAGTATAAACTTTGTGCTGATCAGTGTCTCCAGAGGGTGCTCGAGGATGTGATGCACCCTTCAGGAAGGACATGGTACTTTCAAGACTTTTAGGCCCAACTCAAATTTCAGTCACCCGAGGTTGTCCTCTTTTGAAATATCTACTCGTAAATTATAATAGCATTCAAGAGTATTTCCATTTGTCATTTGGGGGGCTAAGGGTTTAGGTAGAGATATTTAATTCAAACCATTAAAAGGGAAAAAAAACTATAATTTTGACAACGATCATCTACATCTAGTCATGAACACAGAGGACGTAGTGACGGTTCATGTAGTTTCCGGGAATAATTTGCAGTATCATATCACCTTCCCTTTGTGATGGAGTTCTGCAGTTTTAGAACCTTAAACGTTTGATATACCCCCGAAACCTTTTGATACGACTCTGGAAACACTACCTGACAAATGGTTGAGAAATACGCATAAAAATTTGCCTCGTACAGTCATAAAACTACAAAAGGGCTTCAGAACATTTTGTCCTGCTACCAAGTGTTTTATGTTCATTTGTTGCTGTGTAGCGAACAAAGAACCTGACAAACAATGTCATCCAACGAAAAATTGCTGGTAACCTCCCGAGGGGAGCTTTGCTGATACGGTGAAAAAAAACAAAAGGCAGATGCAAAGCAGATATTTGAATAAGATGCCAAATATTACTAGATTTTGCTTTGTCAAAGGCATGCGGATAGTGAACCAGAAAATATCCATGGGCACATAATCCTTGACTTGTGCCTCTGCAAGATTCTGGAATAAAGAAGCCATAGTCAATAAGAAAGCAAAGCTTTAGTTGGTTTTGACAATTGATTCAAGCATGGGGCAGAGGGCAGTTGCCGTCCACTCCATAGTTTTTCTTCATTTCCTCCCTACCTCTGGCAGAGGCTTAAACCTATATCGAGTTTCAAGTCTTTGTGGTCCAGAATCAAATTCAATCAGAACTTTGGGTTTGCTCAAAATCGTTCTGGTGATAGTCAAAATGGTCGGTTTTGATGCGTCCCAGGGGGACAACCGGACAAGGTCTAATTATAAGATCAAACGGGCAGCAGTCCATGGACTCTGAGGAGGTCCATTACCCTCCGTTTCTTTAGATTCTTAGAATCTAACTTCCTTGTTAGTCAATCTCAATTCGTTTTGGGCTTGCTAGGGATTTACACTGCAATGCTCTTTTCGATGCTGACGTTTTCCTTGTTTTTGACTTTCGATAAAGGGCATGTGCCCATTAGCCTTTAGTCCCCAGTTTTTATATGTCTCCCCGTTATCATAATCATAATTTATTCACTCAAGTTTGGATGACCTTGCGAGTTAAAACCAGATTTGTTCTGAATTTATTAATGTCTGGAACAAATGAACTTTTTATGCTCAATGATATCAATGTCTAAACATGAATATTTAATCGGTTTGATTTTAAAATTTTAAAAATGGAATCAATCGAATTTTTATTAAAAATAATCAAAAATTGTTTAAATTATAATAAAAAATAAAAAAATCGAAACTAAATTATCTTGATCTATTAGATTCATTATTTCAATTTAGATTGAGATATTTTATTTGTATATTAAAAAAACATTGATTATATTCCTATAAAAAAATTATTAATGATTGATTTTCAATCAACTGGATTATAAATTTTAAACAATCAAATTTAATCGAATATATTATTTTTTTTTCTTACTAAAATTGAAAAACGGTCCGAAATAATCAAATTCAATGGATTTTATGATTCGAATTTGAATCAATGAATGCCTCCCAAGCCCATGCAGACATAATGAAGTCTCTCCTAATTCAACCCAGAAAAAGTTTTGATGATTGGGGAGGGTGGGTTAGGTGGCCAACGTGTGCTTATCAAAAGTTTGAATTCAAATACCCATAAAAAAGAAGAAAACCTAATCAAGCATGCTAATCAATTCATGGGGTCAATGAGCTCACTATAATGTACTTGAAGAGAAGTTATTAATTATGACTAATCAATGATTTTAGTTTCTCAGCTCCCTCCTTATTTTTATTTAGTTGTTTATATATATATAAACCCTAAAAATCGTAGGTCAAAGCAACCCACACTAGGCAATTGACAATTAAGCAACAAAGTGGTCATCTTGATCCACCCTTTAACTTAAATTTTTTAAATTTTATGGTTCCAAAGTGATCCACATAATCATCGTTCGCAATATCAATCCCTTTCTTCAATATCATATATTTTGCATCATACCCTTTATGATTATAAGTTTAAAATGATAGAGAATTTTTAGCTAAATTTGTTGTAAATTTTGAATTAATTAATATGTTTTAGGTCGATAATCTCAATCAAAGTTGCAATGTTTTTAAAATATTTTGAGATTTCATGAAGATACGGGTCCTTTTTTATAGGTTCAATTGCCACTGCTTTGACATGGGAATATTCAAATAAAATTTAGGTCCAACTTCTATTTGAGATTCCAGGAATTAAAGTGATTGTGCAACCAATTCAAATTCCATAAAGAAAATTTCAAAAGAAGCAGAAAGAAAATTCTCCCAAATCTTTTCTCTGTTTTGGGGTTTTTTTTTTTCTTTATTAATTGAGTGCAAGAGAGAGAGTTGATGAATAACATTATGCAAAAATATATTATTATTAGTGGTAAAATGCACTCCCAATCCTCAACGGCACGTAATAGAAAACAAAGTCAATGCCCGTTTATTTCTTTCTCGTAGGATGCACTTGACCCCATCCTTCACCTACCCTCTCTCTCTCTCTCTCTCTCAATCACTCAATGTCTGCATCTCCGTTTTAAAACTATTCTTCTTCTACGATCTTTATTTATATGTGTTGCTTAAAAACAGTGATCTCTGTTTAAACAACTGAAAATCAAAGCGGTAGACTAATCTCAACCAGCAGGAGTCAACTAGCAGTTAACCAAGAGAAATTAAAGAACACGCTTGTCCATGTTTCACATTCATATCATATAAAAATCATCTTGTCTTTGACTATTTCATATTGAGAAAAAAGGAATTTGAACTCTGATTTGTTTAATATATAAAAATATATACACGTATCATTAAATCGGTTTTATGTTTAAGTTAATAGGTTTCTTTAATCTTAAATTAAAGAAAAAATGGTATTATAGTATTATGGAAAAAAGATATAATTTGCTAACCATGTTAGTAATTTTATATCTATTGATTAAATTGCACAATAAATTCTAGTATTTTCAACATCAGTTCCCCCATTTGACGATCTTGCATTATTTTATTTGTGGCAGAAAAGTAGCTGTTTAGTTAAAATAATATGAAACAATAGAAGAATAGATTTTTTCCTTTGGTGGCAGGTCAAGATTGTCGTGGTCGCTACCATGCACGAGAAAAAGACTTGAAAGATAAGCCAAAACCAAAAATCCAATTAATTCGTGTAATTTGTAAAGAAAGCTAAGGTACGATGGTGCCTCCCCAAGTTAAATATTGGAAAAATAACATTTTTTGACAAAGAAAAAAAATTAATTCTTGGAGTTGAGTCAATTACTTAATATTAAAGTTAAAGCTGTTCCAATTAGTATAATATATATATATATATATATATTTGCATCAAATCAAAGCCATGTTTTCTTTTATATATGTAATTGACAAATTAAAGGTAGTTGAGATGTATTCTATATGCAAATACAACTTTAAAAAAATTTATCACTTTTCAAAGATTCAGCTTCTAAATCACTTTTTCTTTAAATTGTTTAGTCTTTTTTTTTAACTAAACAATTAATTTTCACATAAAAAAATTTAGATATAATAATAATATAAAATTTAAATTTCTTATTCCTCGAAGTGAGAACCGATGAATTATTATTAAATTTATCATGTTATATTAACTTAATAAGAAATTAAGAAACTGTTTTGGCCGCCAACTAATGCAAAGATGCATGTGTTGTTGGGGGATCTTTGTTGCTTTTTTTTTTTTCTAATAATTTAGGAACTTGTATTTCTTCATGATTGAACTTTTTTCCAAGACTTTGTCTTTGCAAATTGCTATTTTTTAAGTCTATTTGAACATTTTTAATTTATTTATTTAACTTGTTTACGTAGTAATCGAGTGGAGTTTGAGTCTTTGAGGAATACTCTAAAGCCAATTGAATTGACAAAAAGTTGTCTTTTAAGGAGACTTGTCTTACTCTAAATAAAATAACAATTTCACTCGAACATAAGCTATGTTTTGTTTATCCATTATAAGTAATTTACAAAAGAAAAAGAAAAATCCTTTTATTTGCACTAATTTGATGTGACATTACTCGAATCCACACAAAAAATAAATAAATAAATAAAATGAGAATAAAATTAAAGAATTATTTTTTCTTTAAAGCTGTCATCAAAATAAAGAGTCCTGCTTAAACTAAATTACTATTTAATTAATAAATGGTGCTGCTGTAATTAAATATTCTCTTTACTTTCTTTTTTCACAGGTTGATGCTTCGTTATATAGACTAGATACCAAGTCATCAATTTAACATTTGAATGAAATAGAGATTGAATAATCTCTAAAAGAAAATAATTATTCCACTATAATATCTCTTAATGAATAGAATTCCTAAAAATTTTTGGAATAAAACTCAAGAACTTCAACATAAAAGCTGGATACATGACTTTGATCATCTCATTTTGTTTTGACTTAAATAACAAAAAAATAAAACACCATGAATTATATAATAGTATACAATGGAGTTTTTTTTTTTATATATTAAAACAATCTTTATCATTTGATTTGCATAAAAAATTATTCTTTTATTGTATCCAAGTAACTTTTAAACTATAACTAAAAACAAATGATAATTAAACTCAACCGTAATTAATATTTTCAATTCATAAAGCATAATAATGTGATCATGTGATAATTTAAAAAGATTTTTTTATCATTTTCTCCTTTTCACACCTATCATATGTCATATTACATGGTTATGATATCAAAGCCACTTTGCCTATCACATGGACAAAAAAATCAATTGACATTAAATCTAATGTTTTTTAATTTTTTGCTAGGAATTAAAAGTTTGTGCGAAAATAATAAGTTGACATAATCTAGAGAATTAATTTTTTATTATTTAAAACTTTTATTTATTGTGTACATATATTTATTTAATTTTGTGTTAGAACATATATTTGTATTAAAATTTAGATGA